AGGCACCTTTTATCTTGGATGCATCAAACGTTTTCGTTTTATTTCTCCAAAACCGAAACAATTTTTAATTAAATCAAAAGCTTAGCTGCTAACTCGGAACTATAATTAATAAACACGAGTTTCGTGGTTTTAATTATCGAAAACGAATTCTCGCAATATGTATTCGACGCTTTCTGACCTTCGCAAACTGATGATACGATAGCGATTTAACACTGGCGCGCATGCACACAAGGCGACGATGTGTTTACGCCTTAACGACGTCCGTTTAACGCTGATGGCAGATACCGCTAATTAAATCATCGGCCGAAAGGAAGGCGTCCGTTCGGAAGGGCTTTTAAAGTGATATTATCGCCGGACGAAATGTGCGTAAAATCGTGAATTATCGCCACTTTTCGGCGGCTAATTGGCTCGTCTATTTTCAATCTGACGCTGCACGTTGTGCTAAGTCAATTTTTCTCGAACAAAAGATCTTTTTGTGAAAGAAAAAATTTTTTTCGCCAACGGAATATTGCATTTTTGTTTTATATTCTGATAGTCGCTGTTAAAATGAATTCATCGACCTATGGCACAGTGTTATTGAAAGTCATGCAAGCTCAAAATAGAGAAAAGGATGTTTCGCAAACACCGATCCGAGAAATAGATAGAGAGACTCAGACTGATTTTTTTTTTTTAAATCGCTAGAGAAACTCAACAGCTAGCCAATTTCAAATGCAGTAAAAGCAGAATAAAATCCATAATAATTCGTGATTTTGTCGCGGTGAATGGGAAGATTTAGCGTGCAGATCTTATGTACGAAATAGTGTGTCATTGGGAAACCTTATGCATAAATTTGCCCGCAAAAAGCCTGCTTGCGCGAAATCACGAAAAACACTTTGCAGCAGGTATATCGACGAAATAGAACTGGTGGATCACTGTTCTATCATCGATTCGACCGTAATTGTAACACCAATTCTTCTATGTTATACGAGCGGTTCGCGTGTCTCAAATTAAGTCCGATAAATGTGACTCCGTCGTACTTCGTATCGCCTTTGTTATCATTAAGTATTATTGTACACTTAACCCCCTACGCAACAAGGAGTACAGCTAAGAAGCACGTATTGCGAAAATAATGCTTTCATTACCGAGGTGACTAAGTTGAATACATTTGACAGAGTCGTAAAACTTCCTTTTAGAAAGGGATTACACACATTTCTTCAAATTTAAATATTGCATTAATAATTTTTAAACATAATAATTATGAGTGAAATCTGTAATTTAATAATAATCACAGCAGTGGTAATAATTAACACTAACAAGAATAAAATTGTAAATAAAGGAATAATTATAACAGCATTAATAACATTGTTTTCGAAATGTTGCGTGCCAGCTGCTCGCAAAATATCGACGAAAAATTGATACGTTCAATTTAATCTCGTGATATAATCGCGCAATTAATATTTATAGCTGCAAAACAAAAAAAAAAACGATAACTTGCAAATATCGCCGAGTTTATCTCGGCACAATTTTAAAAAACTGAGTATAATTGCGGCTTAACCTTTTCCGGTCCGACGATGTCAATAGGAGCGGTATATATGTGTGTTATGTCTTACGTAAGCGAACTCGTGCAGCCCGAAAACAACTAAAACCATTTCGTCAATTTTCCTTTGATGGTTAGCCAGTCGCGACCCGTGCAACCATTAAGGGAAAATTTGTATCGCAGGTTTGCGCGAATATATAGAGCAAAAGGGAAACCGCTAAGTAGTATAAGTAAACCGTGGTTGTCCATGCGAGTGATCCCAAAGACCGCACTAAACCCGATTAACGTTAAACATGGTCAAGTACGCTTTCTTTCTCTGTTTATCATTATAACTGGATCTACGGGGTATCTCATCAGAAAACATTCCTTCGATACGTCAGCGTAACGGAAAATGACTAAACTCGTTTATTGAACTATTCTACATGTGCCATTGTGCATTCAAATGTTATCAGAATTTGAGTGAAATGGAATTAAAATGCTTTCATTATTGGAATAAAATAAAAAATATTTTCAAAATTTAGATGGAATTTTTTTCACATGAAGAAATAAAGAAGAAACAGTAATAAAACATCGTTATGTATATGTATATATGTACACATACATACATATATCAGCGTGACTCATTCGAAATAAACAATCGATTGCGGTTTACATCCCACCGTCACAGTTAACACTAGAATCTCGACAAATTTGAGGTCAATCTTTTTTTTTTTACAGCACTAAATGAATCAAGCATCGTTCTATCGACGTTCCTTTTTTCCTCAATTTACACCAAATATCGCAATTAAAATTTCACCATAAGTCTACTTAAGATCATTCGGAAAAAAATATTTCGCGTTTATTACAATCTCGAAGCTTGATTGACGGCAATCAAGTTTAAATATCGCTGTAATGACATCGTCGAAACTCTCATCAAAGAAGCAAAATCCGTCATTAAAATCGAAGAGAATCCGTCATTAAAACCGTTTCTCCAGTGAGACACTCGGTGTGACAAAGAAAAAAAAAGAAAATCGCTGGCCGGACTTATTTAACCAAGCCAAGCTGTCTGCTCTCGCTGAAAGGACGAGCAACAATCGACTAAACAAATAAAAGGGAAAATAGCACGGTGTTGCACAGGTGCGTTGAAAAACTGTACGTACAAATTCTGAGATTGTTTGAGAATGCAAAGTGCAAAAATGTTTTCGCAAATAAATCTAGCTCCTTTTCAACATGAGAATAAACGACTTTTCGTAAATTAAATTCTACAAGTATAAATAGACGAACACTTCATATATTTTCAAGTGGATTTTACTTTATAATAAGATTTTAATTCAAAACTTTTTGCAATCAGTGAATAATGCTGAGTATTGAAGACTTGATAACATTGGTTTGAATTTTCTCTTGCATATTTAATCGCCAAGATATTCAATGTCAAACGTCGAAACGTCAAAATCCAAGATAAGATTCAAGGAAGTTTAATGTCCAGTTAGATTCGATTAAAATTCCCTCGTTAAAGAATGGATTTCGAGATAAAAGTTTGATAAAGTTCGAATGTAAAGCGTGTACGTGTAGTTTTTCAGCACTCTGTAGGTGCACGCGTCACTCGACGCCGACGATGACGAAGACGTTCCGTAGCGACGCATCAAAAATCCGTGGAGATGGTCGCTGCACGACGGCGACTCTCGCCACGATTACTTTCTCCTCGCAAGGAAAAAGCGAGTCCGGCGAATAATCGCGCCAACAGGACGAGGACGCACGGCATGACGAGCGGAACGGTGAGCCGCTCGCTCACGTTCGCTCGCAGGCGCAGGTTAACGCAGGTTGGAGGTTAACCTCCACGCCGGAGCGAAGCGGAGCGAGCACGCGAGATCACGGACAGCTCGGACAGCGCGCGCGTACACGAGAAAAAAGGAAAATAAAGAAACGACGGAGTACCGCTGTACACTTTGACTGTAGAAAAGAGAGTTGACTTACCCCATAAACCAGTCCACGGTATCGCGGAGATACTCGGGTAACCTATCCAGCTTGGATGATTTTCGGATGGATCACCGTCGTGAGGAAAGCAGCGCGCGCGATAGCCGAGAAAACAAAGTGTAAATCTCCTCCTTCCCTTTCTCTCACTCTTTCCCCACGGATACTAGCACTACCACGGATAGTAGCAGCTAGCGGCAGCAACGGCAGCAGCGGCAGCGGCGGCGGCAGCAGCAGCAGCAGCGGCGGCAGCGGCGGCGCGCGTTTCGCGATCTCGTGAAATCTAACATGGCGCGGCACTATTGTCACCTGTTCCCGTCATGCCCCGCTGACCGTCGAAGCGCATAGCTCGTCGATTCGCTCGCCCGATTCTCAGCGCTGCTCGCTAGCTCGCTATCGCGCGACGCGAGGACGCGAGAAGATAACACACGCGACGACAACGATACACGGGGACTCCTCGCAGAGAGACGGGAGCAATAAACGAACCCGTGACGCGCACCAGCTGATCGCCTGACATCGGGACGCGCGCGCGTGTCTCGACCGTCTGCTCGCGTAATGCCACGTTTCGCCGGTTGGCTGCGGGTGGCGCCACATGACACGCATTTCGTATGCAGCGCTCCACCCGCCTAATGCGAAAAACACTAATAACATGAATATTAACGCGAAATGAGAAAATAGTAATATTTGTTTGTGTGTACTATGCGTTGGCGTTTTGCATCGCAATTTTATATGATAACCTAACATCGTGCAATCTCGGAATTTTTCTCTGAACAGCGTATAATTAGTATAATGCTTCTGACAAATTATTGTCAATTATAGAACGACGAATTAAGTACACATACCTTATGTTGATGCAGTAACGCACTTTCAATGCACTTTCGACGAGAAGAATAACGTGAAAAGTGAGGAAACGACTCCATCAGCTCCGAGCGTACAAAAGAGGACTGTTGATATCAAAATAAGTACACTGACTATTGCGATGGCTTGATTATGTTGCGACAAATGTTCAGCGCTTCATAAAAACACTCACGATAATATTTTGCGTACCAGATTCACTTTTAAACGAAATAAACATGAAAATACGGAGCAACTTGAATACGACTTTGCAATCCGTCGCGACGCGTTCTACACTGACGCACAATTCAAATTGTATCCAATTGAATTTTTCGGAGTATCAATGCTGCCAACTAACAGCAATAATTATTTAACATAAAAATTATTTTAATAAATATTAAAACTGTTTAAAATTGCAGTAATATATTCAATGTATAAAAGTTTTAATATTAGAAATATTAAAATTATATGGTTTTTAAAAGTATAATTTAAACAAACTTAGGCGCATAAGCATATGCATAAAAAAATGAATTGATTTATAAGAAAATGCATAAAGGAATGAATCAATTTATTTCCTTATGCATATGCTGATGTGCTATGCTAATTTGTGTGGATATACTCTAAGAGCTTTGCTCCAGACCGGAAAACATATATGACACTGAGTAGCGTAGTACATCCGCTACAGAACCGCCATCTGGAACACCGGTAACACAAGTTCCTGTGCTCTGCCATGTTATCTTCCATTTTGGTTTTGGTCGTCGAGAAGGTTAGCCGTGTCATCATCGTCTACTGAATAAGATGACGTGAGTATCCAATAATCTTATCCAATTTTTGCAATCGTTTATTTTAACTTTACCATTTTGCATTAAATAAATACATTAAACTGCAATTATTGGCAAATGCGTTTTATTTTTCGCCGCACGATGCTTCCGATTGTAACATGAGTATCAACGTGCTCGTATCAACGTGCGTTTTCGTGTTGCATTGGAGAATCTTAACATTGGCCTACATAAACAATATTCTTTTCATACAGATTTACTTTATTACAATTCGAGTTTAATACGATTATTAATTTTAATCTTCTCGATTCTAAATATGATAAAATATCGTCAGATTATTAAAACATTTGCCATTTCTATAAAAGTAATTTTTGTAAAGTTGCGAAGAGAGTTCTACATGTACATTTTATTTTCTAATTATAGGTCCAAAGTTTCGCGTGATACTCTATACGAGTGCGTAAATTCCGTGCTCCAGCATTCGCAAGAGAAAAAAAGGAAGTTTCTGGAGACTATAGAGCTTCAGATCGGTTTGAAGAACTATGATCCACAGAAGGACAAACGTTTCTCAGGCACCGTCAAGTATGTTTCTACCTGATTTTGAGGCATTTTTTTCATTTTATGGTTATAGCAGTGCATACATTTATTTTTTTTTATTAAAAATATCTGTAAAAAAAATGCCTTATATCAGGGAGCTAGGTTTTTACCTAGCGGACCTGTACCCAGGGTCTTAAATAAATTGGGGAGGTATTATACCGTTATAAATTATATAAGATTGTTATGTAGGATCATGACTCATGATCCTATTGGTAAGTTATTCTTTCAAGTAATATTTTAAATATGTGTTAAGTTATATACGTTTATCGTCACATTTGTTAAACAAGAAAAGTGATTGTTTAATATCAAATTTTTTGATTGAGAAATATTTGCAAAATATTGTAAATTATTAACAATATAATAGATTTATTCATTATACCTAATATTAGTTCTAAAGTTTATTCATCAATGTTCCATGATGTTTATTGCATGTATTATCTGAACAATATATGTAGCAAAATATTTAAATCTGAGAGCATTGGAATTCTAAATATTCTAGAAATTTAGAGACACAATCTCATTTTTTAAAATGTTTATTATCGATTTTTATCAAATCAGGTTGAAGAATATTCCCAGACCAAAAATGCAAGTATGTGTTCTTGGTGATCAACAGCATTGCGATGAAGCTAAAGCCAATAATATTCCATACATGGATGCAGAAGCACTTAAGAAGCTTAATAAGAATAAGAAGCTTGTTAAGAAGCTTGGTAAGTTAATGGCAATAAAATGTTACCTTCCCAAAAGCACCATCATTGGTTAACATACTAACAATGGTGGTCGTCAAGAGGAAGGAGATTAAAATCTTCACTAGGTGAGGGTAATGTGAATCGTTGCATTATACCTCAATCCGTGTTGATACATTTCTCTTAAAAAAAAAATTTGTTTAATAAAATTTATGGCATTTATTTAGAATTAAAACTGAAAAATTTTTGACATATTTACATTCTTTTTGTAGCAAAGAAATACGATGCCTTCTTGGCTAGTGAATCATTGATTAAGCAAATTCCCCGTTTACTTGGTCCCGGTTTGAACAAAGCCGGTAAATTCCCTGGGCTGTTATCTCATCAAGAATCGATGGTCGGCAAGATTGACGAAGTCAAAGCTACCATTAAATTTCAAATGAAGAAAGTACGTAGAGCGAATATAATTACTCTACGATTTTTTGCTTTATTTACGAGCTTGTAACATTTAATAACTGTTGTCTTTGTTCTGCAGGTTCTGTGCTTGTCGGTAGCCGTTGGACACGTCGACATGACACCCGACGAGTTGGTACAAAATGTACATCTCTCAATAAACTTTTTGGTTTCTCTGTTGAAAAAGCATTGGCAAAACGTGCGTTCCCTTCACATCAAATCTACTATGGGACCACCACAAAGATTGTATTAAGACATTTGATGCAATATGTTTCTAAATGTATATTCATATATTGCAATAAAAGCCAAATAAAATTGACAATTGTTTTTTCCTCTTTCCTATCTCATCACGTTTGTGATTAATTTTCCCGCTTTGAAACTGCGATAAAAGTTCTAACAAATACTGAGAATTTTTTTATATGATTTGATATAATTCTTTGAAAATAAGCATTTGTATAGCCACGTACTACAAGTATTTTGTAACTCATAGCACAGAATTTATATACAAGAAACTGCAATAAAAATTGAAAATTTATCGCTGTCTATAGAAGCAAACTATATAAAAATTATTATTAAAAAAATAATATATTTCCTATAACTATTAAATATTTTGTAATAAGTAAATAATAAACATATATATATATATAATAGTTATGGAAAATATAATATATTAATTTTTTTATAATTCTTTTTTACAATTTCTCAAAACTATACAAAACGATTCATGTTGCATTAATAATTGTAATTCTTGTTGTAAGTTAAATTACTCTGCATTATTATCTATATAAAATTAAATAATAAAATATCGTGATATTTGAATATATTTTGAATGAGTAAATTTTTTATTGTCCAGTCACAGGTAGCCACGCAGAGTTTACTGAACCTTCAAATAGTATACCATAGGCCGAGGGATTATACGCCACGCGAGAACAGGCGATAAAGGAAGTAGACAGACTCTGGATCCGGTTCGTGGATACTTCTTTGGGGACCGCGCTCACGTGTAAGTTACATGTGTGTGCGTGGATCCTACGAAGGTCCATAGGCCTGAGCAGGCACCACCATAGCTATTTCCAACGATCTTTGTGGGAGCAGTCCGGTGGCGGTCGCTGCGCTTTGAAGAGGCACATGGTTTCGAGTTCCGCTTTGTAAGCAGATGCCAACGGAGCCAAAAATCCGCGTTTAGTCGTTACTCTCCCTCTCTTCATCGCATACGATTCCTGTAAAATTCTCTTACCGGTTATGCATGTTTATCGGATTGCTTCTTCACGTGGTTTCTGAACGCATCATTCCTTCTTATGGTAAACCTTGGAAATTCGGGCATCGATGGAATAAAAGTATTCACGTAAGTTTGATAAATGTGTTTTTAATTTCTTTTCCCGAAGAGAAAGATAAGAGAATGAATCACCTGTGAACTTAATGTGAACTTAATGAAACTATTTCAAAACTCATTACGAAATGAATAAATTAATATCATAATTTATTATTTAAATTTAAAATATAAAAACAATTTTAAAAAATTTAAGTTTTATCTTATATAAATAATTTAACAAAACAAGGAATTATAAGCAGCAGAAAAAGCTTATAGCTTACTTTATAAATATTTAGACAGTAAAATTTTATTTTCTATTTAATTTTAATCAAATGTTATTTTAACAAAAATTTGATTTTAGGTTTTGTTATCAATACATTTCTTAAGATTGAAGATTAAATGATAATCTCCCAGAACAATCTTGCCGTTCAGAAGATCCCTGGTACCCTTCCAGTTTTATTTGCTAGTTATCGACGCCTGTACTATAATTTGACGACAAAACTCGTTGAGACGTGCTTGACAACGAAGGCAAATTTAATTATAAATACAAGCGAAATGATAATGGCACAGTTCGTGGAAACGGACTACTGATACGGAAGCCTGATTTTTATTTCTGATAAAATTGTCAGTCTCCGTAAAATGTGATAAATATAAAACTTGGCATATTTTTTTATCAATCAACGCGAGAGCAATCATTGGTAAGTGATTATTTGTCTGCCCTCTTGAAATTTGAGCTTTGTCGGGCAAACTAATATCGATCGTCCGGAATCTCGCCGGTCACAGAAATAGCGTATTAATTCGATTAGATATTTTTGAGAACTCAAGTATTCCCCGATCGTTCTCGAGAAATAACTGCTTGGAGGATGCCGGAATTACAACTCTCCCCTTTCGAACGGGGCATATTACGCTTCAATTGGAAGTTCACGGAATTAGATATTAATGTCAAGCGTGAGATTATCAACGGGGAATGCAGAAAAATCGCGATTGTCTGCCACTCTTCCGTTCTTTCTCCACGGGCGACGGAGAATGCAAAAATTGAACGTATCACGGGGATCGGATGGTCGGCCGGCGCTTGTATTTGATTAATAAAGTGGCCGCGAAAGAGTGCACTCTCGGACGAGAGTGGTCTCTACCCGTTATCAGTGATATCAACTAGCAGAGCGGAGACAACCAACCAGCCGGGCGGAAGGCTGTCAACGAGCCACAGTTGGGCAATGATTATCGAAAGCGACGACAACGACGACAACGAGTTTCACTGACGTTCCACCGAACATTCTCCAAACAGTTATCGAGAAACTCGCGAACCGATAATATCGCACATGACTGATTATCTTCTCGCGGCAGTGAGTGTTGTTCCCCCCTAATCCAAGCTAGCGAAGAAAGAAAAAATGCTCGTGTTAAACGAAAGAATGTAGCGCATCGCAAAGTTTTTAGTGCCAGTGTCAAGAATAATGCTGTTAATCTACGATACGTGACATTAAAAATGTATGACACATAATACATTAATCTCTAGTCTCGCGTTAACGCGTAATAGACTTCTCGACTAATTTAAAATCAAGTTTTGTCGGAAATCTCTCGAGGCAAAAGTCATCGCGACTCTTCCTATTTTCTGACTTTATAAAATTTTGTAAATTTACAAAAATGTACGGAGTGCAAGAAGTTAAATTTTTATAAAACTAGACGTATCCTTGAATGAACACGCACGTAATCCTTTCAACGGGCGTGAAAGGAAACAGATATGACGAAGCATAGTTTTCCCAAGTATTTCCGCTTTGTGTTAATCAGAATACGCCTATTTTTATAAAAAGCTTTAGCTGTTGCATCATTAGAAAAAATTATATTTTAAATTACGCTAAAATGGCTAATATTGGGAATCAACTTAAAATTTTTTCCAAAATTTAATATAAGATAATAAATATCTAAATCTTCAGACTTTTGTGATTTCCATAAATAATATAAGTGTAATAGACGAAAAGAAAATTTTTATTATCGATGATATTATTGATATTAAATTTGACAACTGATAAAACAAATTGACGTGCATTATAGCATGTATTAGAGTAGCATTCATATTAGAGTTTTCAATCCATTTTTTTATCATGTAACAAAATATTTGGCAACGATTTAGAGCGCAGATATATTCAATCTTTTTCTATTTGTAGCATTCATTAGAACATGATCCTTGAAAAACGCTCGGTGCTGTTCGTTTTCCTTCTTTACTTCCCTTGTTCACTTTGCGACGATAATGCGTCGCAAGAGGCAACGAACAGTATACCACATAAAACATGGAACTCTGGATCGATGGAAAAGCACAAGAGCAACACATATTATGATTTTGCGTCTACGGAGAGTTCTACAAGCTTCGCAAACGATTCCGAGTTTGCGGACAGTTTCGAAACCAGCTACAATCCTGAATCTACAGAGAATTCTACGAGTTACGAAAATGAGAATCCTATCCTACAAGCCATTTTACGAACACATCGTACGAGTTTGAGCACAGATCCTGGATCCACGGAAAATCCTACGAGCACTTTCGGAACCAGCGTAAGCTACAATCTTGAATCTACAGAGAATCCTACGAGTTACGACAATGAGAATCCTAATTCTATCCTACTGGCCATTTTACGAACACATCGTACGAGTTTGAGCACAGATCCTGGATTCACGGAAAATCCTACGAGCACTGTAAATGATTTTGAATCTACGGATAGTCTCGGAAATAGCGTAAGTTACAATTTTAAATCCACGAGGGATCTTACGAATCACGCAAGTGACGATTCTGGATCTACGAGTTTGGCAATCACAGAATCTGGATCTACGGAGAATCCTAGTTTTACAAGTAGTTCTGGATTACGAACAAATACGAGAGACTCTACAATTACCGATATCAGTGAAATCTCATCTTCGATTTCCAATATTACGCAATCAAATTCTACTACTGTGATTGATAACAGTTTTAACACTTCAGATAACACGATTAGTACTACGATCGATCCAACGATTAACGATCCGTGCTCAGTAAACGCAAGCGGTAATTATAATAATTAAACACGTTATCGTTACTTATTTATAAGAATTATAAGTACTTAAAAATTATAGAATTTTCTTCCAAAATATTCGTTAAACAGAAAACATTAATAGAAAAAAATTTATTATTGTACAAAACTTAATGAAGAAGACAAAGAAAAATTATGTCTTATTTTTTCAAAATTATTAGGAATTATTTTATGCAGTTTTTATTATAGTCTGTATGTTCATATTTTGTAATTTTGTGTTTAACAGATATAAATAAGGTAATAAATTTAAAGACGGAGAATAAAAGTACAGAATGGATCACTCTGTCATGGGAATTATGCATTAATGCAACAGACGTTAACATGACCGAGTATGTTTATTCGGTCAAAATATGCGAAGCCGATAATAATTTGTCTGACTACATTTATTGTAGTCAGACAAATGAAACTGATACATGGTATAACGCTACCGGTCTCGATCCATGTACAGAATACATGTTCATCGTGAAAATACTTGCGGAAGATTGGGAATCCGACGAAGTTTCTCTTACAGAAATGACAAATAACACAAGTAAGTACACAATTGATTTATGTCTAATTTTATATAAATAAAGAATTAACTGGACTGAAAAGTTAATCAATAAATACTTTCATTACACTAATTTTTTTCAGTTTCCGAAATCGGAGATGTATTCGATCTGACTGTGCGGAATATCAGCGTTAAAACTATACAGCTGGCTTGGCAAGCGCCTGTAGCAAACGCAAAATGCATATCCAATTACTCGATTGAACAGTGCGACGAGAGTTCCTGTAATGAGACCACAGTCGTCGCCACGAATTACACCGCCAACGATCTTAACCCATGCACGGAATATCATTTCACTGTTAAAACGGTAACGCAGACAGTGCAATCCGCCGGTTTAAACGAGACCGCGAAAACAGCTTCGCCGAGTAAGTATCTTGAAGTGTCACGGCAGAAGAACAAATGAATACGTTGTCCCTTACAAATTTTTCTAGTGAAATTAGCGAAAGATTACTTTTCCAACTTTCACATATTTCACACGCATCTTAATAAATAAATCTCACATTAGGATTCTATTAAAACAGAGTACTTTACATATTTATTTTCCGCCGATGTGTTATTTAACTTTTGATAAATCTATTTCAGAATTGTCAAGCCCGGAATCTGTACATATAATACCCGGGAATTTTTCGCTATACGTTACATGGGAGCCACCGAAATCCGATACGAATTGCATCAAGCATTATCACGTGTCATTATCACGTGTAGATCCACCACGTACTTTTATTACCACGAATACAAGTTTACAGATTGGATATTTGCATGCTTGTGCGACTTACGAGGTGCACATCAACGCTGTGAATGAAGACGATGTGCACGGAGAAACGGCGACCAAAAGCGGCACCACGAATCGATCCAGTAAAAATTTATTTTTACTTCTAGATTTATTCTTGCACATTTTACGCTCGATATAATTTGACATGCGGCCGTTCGATATGAAGATCGATGTGAAATTATTCTCTACGTTTCAGGAACAAAACCACCACAAATGATTGCATTGCCAACGTCACATGCGACTAACATCACAATAATATGGAGTATTGACAAGGATAACAATGATTGCCAGTTGTCGGCCATAATTACTGTATGTAATTACACAGAAAGAAAAGGAGAAGGCTATGATCCTGTGAACAATTTATCTTCAACGAACGTAGATGAGGAGAATGTGAACAAGCCCAGCTTCACTATGAACACGACTGTGTCAGATCTGAGCGCTTATACGACTTACAGTTGCTGGAGTTACATTGTTAGTATCGGAGACTTACACAGTAACTGGAGTAAAGAAGTGTCTACCACAACATTGCAAGACAGTAAGCATACATTATTCCCATTACATTGTCATTTTAATTTAATTATTATCACAAAAATGAGTGAAAAATTAAGAAATTTTATAATACTGAGGATATTTTTTTTTTTCTGGATAAATAATCTTTCAATCTCTTCTATGGAATAAAATATAGTGATTAATTAATTGACTAATAAATAACTTCAATAATCTTATGTATATTTAATAATAATTTATTTAATACTTATTATATATAATTTAGCTAACGTCAATATTTTATGTTTGTACAATTTTAGAACCAATCCCGCCTACATTTACAATAAAAGAAATTAACAACTTCAATTTCTCTTTGACTTGGGAATTTCCGAAACGTTTACCCGGCACCTTAGAGCAGTGCGATATCGTGATCGATTGGGAACCACGTTACTCAATCCCAGATTGGTGCGCCTACGACGAACCGAAAAAACCCATATCTGTAAATTGTAGTGTAGACACACTTACATATGATTTTCAGGATTTAAAACCATTTACAACTTACAAGGTTAAGATGAGAGCAAAAACATGCGCGATGGAATGGAGCGAGTACAATGAACAAAATTTTAGCACCAAAAGCACAGGTAGACTATTTTATAAAAAATTATGTGTAGAGAAATCGTTTAACGGTTTTAAAGACATGGATACTTAATACTTTATTTTTCTCCTTGAATATTTGAGACATTAAATACTACGCGATTGTTCAGTTCCAGGTGCAATCACGAAATTTAATTCCTCCTCTATTATCATCAGAGAAACCTCGAAGAATCCAAATGTATTGGAAACGGTTTTAACATGGGGCATGCCATGTTCTTTAAACGGTGAATTTGAGTTCTTTAATATATCGATTTACGGTACCAGGAACAATTTCGAGCCTCATTCCTTCTTCAAAATATACAAATGTCCGAATCATATGTGCACGATGATTCTCAGCGAGGAGGAATTTCATCCGAAGGGAGAATTCAATTATACCTTCACGATATACACCAAAGTTAAAAACATCGAGAATCTCGGGCAAGAGACGAGTCAAAGCATACAGTATCCTCCTGGCAGTGCGTATTCATTCGTATGAATAATTCATTAATAATCTTTAAGATATATGACAGTGGAATACTCTGTATGCGACAATCGTATTTCCTTTATCTGTAATCGATTCTACAATTGAGATTCTTTTTGTAGTACCGCCGCAGCCCGACGATGAATACATCAACATGATCACTTCGGGATTGACGGTGCGACAGAAAACCACAACGACGGCTGTTATTTTCCTGCCCCTGTTCCCCATTGACAACGGCGACATCAAATACTACGCCATCATGGTGTCGGAGAAGGGACATAATGAGCAATTGAGTAAAAGGTTCGATGTGGAAAAGAACGACTGGCCTAATGCGTCCTCCTGGAAGGAGGCGATGATGAAGGAATTCACGATAGCATATCAAGCGACGCGGCGGAGGTGGGATCCTTATGAAGGTAATATATTCGTAGATAGATATAGGCCGACTGCCTGTGTAAGCCGTGCGTCATTAAATATCTTCTCCGTTTAGACAAACTTGTTGTCGATTATGATGGCATAAGAGTCATCAAGTATGACATCGGCGTGGACTCAAATTGCAAGGAGTTCTCGTTGAATACGGACCAACGGCTGTACTGCAATGGGCCTCTCAAACCAGACATGTGGTACGATGTCAGAATAAGAGCGTTTACTTTCGGCGGTTACAACGATTCCGTCGTATTTTCGATAAAAACGAGTGAGTAAATCTTGTAATCTTCGCGCATGCAACTGATATAGCGCAAATAACTGTCATATAATTACGTTACGTAACAAAATCAGATATGTATATTGTTTCAATCGTTTTTTTTTTCTTCCTTGTTTTCTTTTACACTTTGCGATACCAGACGCGGAGCTGAATATTGTTTCGGTCATCGCAGCTGTCTTCAGCATACTTCTCATGGGGATACTGGTGACGATGATGTTGCTCGTGCGAAAATGTTCGCCGTATATGTAAGTTACAATTTTTTTCAATACTTTTGTAAATAAAAAAGAAACGATAACCAATCGCGTATCGTAGTAGCGCAGATAATTTTCATATCTTAATGGAATGCGCGCGCGTTATTCTCAATTCTTATACCTCGAGTTGAATTATCGGCGGCGGAACTTGTTCTACACGCAACAGTGAAGTAAGATAAGATTAATTTTCTATAGTCGTGGAAAATTTCGAACGATGCTACAGCAATTAAGAGTTGTCGTCGATTCGTCGCGGGAGGCCCAGCTGAAATCACGGCGCGGCGCCGATGTCACTCATAGGCCTGAAATGTACCGGGCAGGTACAAGCGTTTATGAACAATGATCAATATTTATTCTATGACTCAGAAGAGGACTATAGCTAGAGGTGTGAGCAAGGTCGCTCGGCGTACGCGTCTATCATGCACGCTAAGTTATACGGCGCATTACAGGCTCAGTGCTCGACGAGGTGTCTGTCGCGGTTCGTTGTCGTCGAGCTTAAGCTCCGAATTGATTATTTTTATCATGGGTATTTTTAAGCGTGCAATACGCAGGTGATTATTGTAATAATAGAAATAGTGGTGTTGTAACGTCGCTATAGAAACTGCCGGGAATTTGCCTATATATGACTCCGAGCTTACGGTGAATCGAATCCTTTCGTTTCTAGCCAAGTGCGTATGTTTACTGCGTAAGTTTTTATTATTCCGCCGCTGTGAATGAACCGCCTACACACTGTCGGCGAAGGAAAGATATGCATATGTAAAATATGAATGCTATTGCGCATTTCTATACAATTTTCGTCATTACTCCGGCAACCTTCGAACGCGTTAACGAAGATATTGATCCTATGCAGTTATTATTTCTCTTATCTTTATTGTTTTACATATATGTACGTATCTTCTTTCTATATATCTATTATTTTATAGCGATTTTTTTTAGCTATTTTTGTTGCAAATATATTTTTATTATATTTTTTAAATATATTAAAACATACTTTTATATCACGTATTGATTTAGGTGCGTATAAAAATTCACGTTCGCCGCAATTTTTGCTATTTCAGACTGTTACGAAGACTTTTGCATTCTGACATGCCCGGCTCGCCTGTGCCCGCGCCGTTCACCAGAAAGAAATTCATTAACCATTGCCAGGAATTGGTGGACAATCCTGGGAAGTTGAGCAATGAATTTCGGCTGCTTCAGACTTTGAGCGTCGATTTACAGATGCCCACGAACACCGCTTGTTTGCAAGCTAACCGGAAGAAAAATCGCTACTCTGATATTTTACCCTGTACGAACTTATCTTGCAATACACACGCACACTTGCGGTTTGTGATTAAGTATTATATATGATTCATACTTTCAGATGATTTCTCAAGAGTAAAGCTGGAAGTGATAGATAATGATCCTAACACGGATTACATCAACGCGTCATTTATAAGAGTAAGTAAACTTCGCATTTAAGAAATCTGATTCTTTATTCAATTTTAAATAAATTTTTTTTAATAGAATTTTTACTCGATATCAAAATATTTAATTCTAAACTTCTAAACAAATTGCGAAATTCGAGTAAAGGAAAAATTATTTTAGCAGGAAATATTATTTCGTTCCTTAAATATTTTTCGATTATTAAATTTTCGGTGTATAATCGGCGATTGAAAAGTAATTCGTTCATATTTCAGGGATACTCGGGAGAAGATGAATACATAGCTTGTCAAGGTCCGAAGGAGGAAACTACCTATGATTTTTGGAGGATGGTCGATCAGTACAACATTAACATTATAGTTATGCTAACGCAATTGGTCGAAAAGGGCAAAGTAAATTCCATTTGCCGATATTAATTGCGTAATATCGATACCGTTTCCTGCACGTTGATTTTCTTTTTCAGGAAAAATGTCATCAATATTATCCGACGATTAGAGAAACTTTCCGATACGAGAACATGACGATACGATGCACGAGTGAATTAGACTTCAGGACGCACACCCAAAGAACGCTCATACTACAAAAGGTTTTATTTTTCACGCGAACAGCATATCTACAGCGAAAACTTCTACGCGAAGACAATGTCTATAATGCAGATAATATTATTACAGGAAAATAAAAAGAGGAGTATCACTCATTTGCACTTTAAAGACTGGCCTGATCACGATGTTCCAGAGGATTTCGATGCAATGATCAATTTTTGTCAAATTATGCGCCGCAACATTAGCGCTAATAAAGATTTCATCGTCGTTCATTGCAGGTACGAATAAATGCAATCGAAATATGATTTATTTCATTAAAAAATTATAATTTACAATAAAATATTATTTTACAGTGCAGGAATTGGTAGAACGGGAACGTTAATAGCGATCGATATCCTCCTGCAACATCTTAGGGATGATAGGAAATTAGATGTCTTCGGAACTGTATATAGATTGCGGCATAATAGAATAAATATGGTGCAGAGAGAAGTAAGTAATACATTTATTACAAATAATATCAGAATAGACTAGTCATTAAGATAAAAAAGCAGTCAAGTAAAAAGCCAAAAAAAAAACAATAAAAAAATATAACTCATGCGCTTTAGCTACCAAGATATCGAAATTGTGAAATTAAGAGATTGTGAATAGATATTTTTGCGATGAAAGAATCAACTATTTTATGTAGAGTGAGCTAGCGTTATGTATCTGTTTTTTATCAACTTTCTTTTCTATATATTAGTATTCGTATAAAATGCATCAAGTATATAAATTTTATTTTATATTTTATATTTTCAGAGCCAATACGCTTATATATATAATTGTATAAAGCAAGTACTAAAAAATCCTTATTTCTTAAAAACTTGTAAGTATCTTTTATATACTATTTTCAGTGCATTTTTTCTAGTTAGATATAATAAAAACTCGTTATCATGTATTCATAGGTAAACCACCGCCGGTTAGTCCAGTATATCAGAACATCTCTAAGAAAGCTAAAGAGACAACGAATTCAGACAATAATCTAGTCAACAATCTCGAATTATGTATGTAAAATGCATTGTATCTCTATATTTTACAGTAGATATTACACATCTTTTATTCTTGTGGTATTATTAAGGGTACTGAAAAGCACGATAGAAATAACATTAATCTATTTTCTACTACAGAATGAGAGTCTCTCCAACTATTTAATACGTGATGAGGTACGAACAAATGCTTCTGCGACTGCATCATCTTATTTGCTTTGCTTTTCCTTCGTACTGAACGTTTCATTTAATCCATTCATTGTCTATCAGTCTACTAGTTGTCTAATTTTTCTCAGCTAAATACATAACTGTTCATTGTTTCTCTGCGTGTGGTTTAGAAATAACTTTGTATATAGGTATGCCTATTTATAGACTGGACATAGTTATGGCAATATAAAAAATACAAACTATAATGTAATGCAGCGAGAAAAGTGAGAGAGTTAATTTCTAAGATTTCTTTAAAAAATCTACAGCTGTCCGCAGCTAAATCTTCATCTATCTATAAAAATTGGCTTTTCAAGTCATCTTCATATTACACAATTATATCCAATTGTTCCTTTTTTCAATATCTTGCATAATGAATATCGTGTTGTTTCAGTAAAAAAATATAATAGCTCCATATCTATGGAATCTCTGGAATCAATCTATAATCTCTTTCCTTGGTCAACTGCGAGGAACACAATAAATAACGGTAAGACTGGAACACGATTTCATGAATCTAAACTGTTATTATATCGAAAATTAAATGGTGAAAAGAATGCAACTTTATTAAGAAACCAATCATTGCAAAAGTATTCATTTATACCGTGACAAATTTCACCCCATATAATTTTGCTTTAAGGTTTAAGACACTACAAATCAATGGGTGCCATAAATGTAAAGACTCATCACGTTACTATAGGTCAGTGATAGATCATATTAAAATTATATTACTTTTGTTGTAAGTACGATATTGACAAATGTGACAAAATTATTTTAGGAAGGTCTCGAACTTTGGATCGTGTCTTTTATAAATCGCAGAAAGATTCATCGTGTGAAATAAGTATAGAAGGTTTACAGGAGAGCTTTCCATTATTACCCTCTTCGAAATCAACTGATGTACTTGGCGACAGCACGCAACATGCAACAGACAGTAAGTCTTCATATCTCTTTGTTGCGTGCGTGTATTATACTTATTTAAGCCATTTATAAAATTAAATTTTTTTTTACAGAGACATGTGAAAGAGATGATTGAATTAAATTAGGTTATACGTTTTAAATTCATTCAGAGTATGGATATTTTATTATATGAAAGCATAAATAATGTAAATATGATGCGATGACAAAATCCAAGAATTCTTAAGATAGGATTGATATGTTATTTTACACATTACTCTTTGTAAATAATTGTAATTCTGTGTGAACATTCCCATATATGAGCATATGTCGCCGGAATGTATTATGTGATATTAAATATAATGCTTATCAGCATTGTTACCTGATACATGCCTTAAATAATATAATCCTACTAAATTTGGAAAATATTCTAAATAATAATGAAAGTTTGCAATTAGAATGTATATATTTCTAAACAACCTATATCAAATAAGAAATCGTAGCTTTCCAAAATATAAGAATTGTATATATGTAAACATAGATTCACATTTTATACACCTTCATACTTCATTTATTCAAGATATGCACACAAATTTCAATAAAAAGCACATAATGCATTTACATTGTTTATTAAAATTTGATTTGTCCAATGTAATATCTTTAATATCAAATAAATATAGTGCCAATATATTTTTTTCAAGTAATGATATCAAGATACTTGCTAACTCTAAATTAATATCGATATTTAGTGGAATAATCTTTAGGAGAAACTACCAAACCTCGTCCTTTCCTTGCGCCTCTGTAAACTGTCTCGATGATGTCGATCATTTCTTGCTTGTCTTCTAATGTCCAATTGATCTTATTGTTGTTGCCAGTACCTAAATCTATCATGATGTGTTTGTTTCTAAAGAAGAACATTACTGTACACGGATCGTACAGTTCATACCTATAAAAAATAATTACATATATATAACAAATGTTATTATGTTCCGTGAATTAATATTAATTAGTTAATGTGATTAAAATTGTTGATACATACATTTTATTAAAATCTGGTACTTTTGTTATGTCAACCAAATAAATAACGGCAAAGTTCTTAACTTTTTCCGCAATGTTATAGAGTACTTCATCCATTTTCATACACATTGGATCCCAATCATGTCCAAAACGAATAACCTAGAGAATAAAACATTATTTTTGAAATTTTGAAAATTTTAACTTAGAATATAATTCTAATCGTTTAACTTGACATTCATATATATAATACTGTCAACAAAGTGATAGGTTAGGAATGAACTAAAACTCACCACGACTCGATCTTCTTCCGATAAAATAGCCTGATCGACTTGATAGCCGTTTTCCAAATGTGATAGCATGTAAGACATTTTGAGATATGAAATTCAAAAATTCGCGATTACAAGATTATCCAATTCTGTTTCGTTCTGTGCTTGATACTTTCCTTACATCCGATTGATTTCCTCGTCCAACAAGTTCTAGTTAGTCTTTCTTATTAATCAATCAAGGATTCTATTTCACTTTCACTTTCCTACATTACTTCTTTACGTATCGAATAAACAACAAGAAAAACACATTGAGATCATTCAGCTCATTCGCTATACAACCTGTGCAAATCTATGTTGATCTCTCTTGACACGTATTTTTTTCGGATTCTTGTATTGCGTCTTGCGCAATAGATCATTCGTACTTTAAAAAAAATTAAAGATAATAATAAAAATTATATTATTTTATTAATTGATAATTATGTATTAATAATTAATCAGTACTGAAAAAAAAGTCGTTATAATATACGTATTACACAATATATTTATATATCTTTTAGTTTATAATTTGTTTTAATAATTTTACAAATATTTTGTTAAAAATATTATCAAATTGGTACATATTTTATGGATTGTATTTCTTTTTTTCTCATTATCTAGGATCAATATTTGACAAATTTATTACATTTTTAATGTATTACATATATTAATTAAGCATCGGCTTTAATAAGCAAATCTATGTATGCTTCTGCAATTAAATCATCTTCTTTTATAGACAGTGCTTGCATGAGGTTGTCAGCAATTTTTTGTCCAGTCTCTATGTCTTGATCTTCTTGCAAAACTACCTGAATACAATATTATTAAAATTGAATATCCTTATAAATAGAACTTTACAATGCAATTAAAAGATAAAAAGACAAACCTCTAATTCTATAAAATCGCCCAAACCATCAACCTGGTCAATATGTACTCTAGTTTGTCCAACAATATATAACTCTCTTACTTTCTTAACAATTCCTAATACACCAATGGATTGTGACAAAATATCTACAAGCGAATCTACAACATTTGAGCTTAGTGTCACTTTATCATAATTAGATAGCTTTGGCCCTAATACACAGGGTCGGTTGTAAAATATTAACTCTGCAGTGCCATTCTATATAACAGAAAAAAGTATTTTGTACAAAAATAATAGTATAATGACACAATTATATGCAATATAATTTGCAAAGTAATTTCAATATTTTAACAATTTAAATATATATTTTAATATGGTATAAATATATTAAGCAAAAGATTAATAATTAATCTTACCTCAAATTTTCGTAATTTTAATTTTCCTTCTTGAACCTTGAAAAAAGTATCATGCTGCTTGATAATAGTCTTATCATCATTACTTAATTCTTTGGCTTTTGAAATGATATGATTAATATCCTGAATTTTTGCTTTTATCTCAATGTTACGCATTTTTATTTTTCTAACTCCCTAAAATTGATAAAGTATTGATTAATGTTTAATATATATATATTTGAGTAATTAAATTCTTATATAATATTACAATACATCTGATCCACTTGTTGCATTTCTTCTGAACATTATTTTAACTCATATCTAATTTTGTATTCTTTATTCCAACAATGAGTATTATTTTGATAAAAAAAAGCGTCTTGTTAAACTCGACGAGTAATTATCACATAATATTTCTATATTATAATTTTTTAATTAATTTAACATTATATAGTATTATTTACCTCTAATATTAACTTTTCAAATACGTTACTAAACTGTCAATTGTCAGTTATAGCCAGTGTCGCCAGACGTGCTTATTCTGGGGGTCGATTGTTTATCATGCAATATAGTGAAAATCACAAAAGTGAGCAAATTTACTAAAGTATCTATGATCTTATTGGTTCACGCCTAGTAAATTTGCTCACTTTTGTAATTTTTACTACATTGCATGATACAGAACGGTCATGATATATGTACTATCTAGATGGAAATATTTATGCTGTGCTGCGATATGAAGAAATGAAGAAAGACACAACATTCGATATTCAATATAAAAGATGTCAATCTTAAAACAGTAGAGAATGTTAATCTTTAGAAGATAAATTTTTTTATTAGCTATCGATTGTTGTATATTGAATGAAGAATGCAGTGTAAATTTTGTTTAATGCTCGCGTTACTGCGCATACGCGAAATTTATCTCTCCATCTTTGTTCATCTTGCAACAGTGCATTGCAGTTCATGGACGGTGGATAGACATCACGTTTAAGTAGCGGAAGGAGGAAGTGGATACCTCGCGGGTAGCAGTGACGACGAGCTAATGTCGGGATATTTCAACGTACGAAGGAGATGCGCGTGTCAGGAGACCGCGGGGCAATGATTAATGACGAATCAGTTGGGACGCGGGTGATGAGTCGCGCAAAATGAGGAAGTCTTGTAACGCCACGGTGGAGGCCCGAACAACGGAATGCCTCGAAGTCACGAGACGTCTGCATAAGTAAGTATTAACGCTCCGTCTCTCTTTCCCGCGTGTCTCTCTCTGTAAATAATTGCATTTTTGCGCTGCGAAAAATATTTCATAACTCTCGAAAGTTACGCAGGCGATGTAACTTCTAGAAACGGGTGAACCTAACCCACCATTTCTTATCGCCATGCTTGTTTCTTATCGCATTCTTTTTTAACGAATGTTGACAATTATATATTTATACGATTTATTAGATACAATTAATCAACTTTTAATCTCCAACAATTCATCAACTTCATCAAAATATCAAGTTATATGTTTGCGTCTCTCCAATATCGTGATAGTGATAAATTTCCAACTACATACGTATCTTTAATAATGACCTTCGTGCAATGCCAATAACAATGCATTAATTAATTCTTTGTTCAATAATTTCCTTTTTCTTCGCAAGGAGTGTGACAGAGATTGTCAAGAAATTGGATGAACAGAAAAATCGAGCTTTAACAGTAAGCGATATATTTGTTCCATCTGTGAAAGTTCTACGCATGCGGCTTAAGGATTATTGCCAGAGATTGATATTGAAAGACCCCGTTGGAAATGGGTACAAAATAGAGGAATTGCTTTGGAGAAAGGCATTCTATGATGTCGTATATGCAGCCAAAAAGTTGCGAAAGGTACTATTTATAAAGTAACATATTAAACGAATAATAATAATATATATAGATATCTATAGATTTTATATATTATTCCAAATATAGTATTATACATTTTATACAAAATTCTATATAAGTTCCTGAAAGAACTTTTTTATAAATTAGCATTGTATTTCAGGCTAACATCTGGAATGATGAAGAAAAGGCTTTGTTGGCAGTTCATTTGGAAGTGGGTGTGGGATATTATCATCATCTGATATTGAAACTACAGTTTGAGTATGATCTAGACCTTGTCGGTGTTGTTGATTTCGCATTTATTCATAGCGAGAATATTTTATCATATGTAAGTATCTATGCAAGAAAAAAATTTTAATATGCTCAAAGAATTTTTTAATATCTATCAAAGCGCAACTCAGTTTATCGGTATTAAAAAATAAAAAATTTATTATATTTAAATTGTCACGAGTTATGTTGTTAAATATGAATTAACAGTTATATTATTGCGTACAAGATATCGCAATTTGTTGTAAATTTTATAAATTTGTAATAGGTGAGAGCTAAGACGGGGCAATCTAAAACTTATGCCAAAGAAGTCAAACTATCTGTTATACGTTTGATCCATCGAAGCTTGGTATGCCTTGGAGACCTGAGCAGGTACAAATTAGAATTAGATTCAAATTGGGATCCAATGATAGCAAACAGATATTATAAGATGGCTATAGCCATTGACCCGAATATTGGCATGCCTCACAACCAACTTGGTTCTATAGCGGGCAACAAAAATTATGGATTAGATGGAGTCCATCATTACATGAGAAGGTTAGTATTAATAATCGGTTATTGTTTAACATTAAATGTTATTGCTAAATAAATTACAATAGTAGTTATATTGATACTTAAATTTTTGCCTTTAATTTTCAGTGTTTTATGTTCTGAGCCATTTGAAGGAGCAGAGGGAAATTTGAAGAGAAGTGTGGTAAATCACTCCATTTGTACAGACGAGAACAATTCTGTTCATCATTGTATATCACGATTATTCTCTTTATTACGTTTATGGGATTACGAAAATCCAAATTCCGACAGAATAAATCAGGAATGTCAGGTATGTAATCAACATAAATTTGCTGATGAACATCAGTTTCGAAATTGGCAATAATGGCTGATTTCTTTCCAACAGGATCTTTTAACTGACTTAGAGAATTGCTTGACAATGAAACAAATTGAATCACATAACGCAAATTCTCTTGAAAATGTGGATAGTATAGAAACATATCTTCAAAATTGCAAAAACAAACCAATGCTTTATCTAACAGATGACATGGTGTTTAAAATTACGACAATATGCTTAATGTCAATTTCTAGATTAAAGAGCAAAGAATCCAGTGAAGTACAGGGTGTTGTTGCTATAACTTTAGCAATATTATCGCAATTACTGCAGATTACAATAACAAGATTACAGGAAATGGTCACAGATATAGCAGTGTCTGCTGTAGAAGCAACTGCGAAAACAGAGACTTATTCCGCAAAATTGAAAAATGGACAGGAACGTCGAACGTCATGTGAACAAGAAAACAACGGAGATTGTTTAGAGAATGAAAACTCCGCTGTGAACAAAGACAATAATGTACTCAATTTGAACAAAAACGACAAAGCAAAATCGCTGGATAACGGAGTAGTGAATGAATCCAGTGTCAAAAAAGCTCGCGACAAATCGAAGAGTCTTCTCAGCAAACTCCGTAGACGAAAGAGAAGGACCAGTTCTGATTCGGACGCGAGCGATTTAGATCAGTCGACATTGGCATCGTCCAGTGACGAGATTAACTCGGACGTGTCCGAGACGGAAGGGGACGGTGCGATATCAGACGACGCTTTATCGGACGACAATACGGACGATGAAGAATCATTGCTTGGGAACAAAGTCCAAACAAAAAACACAACAAAGGAAGAGATAAACGGCCATGTCAGCGACGTTGCCGGTAAAACAAAGAATTGCGAGAATAACAATGTCAATCACGTCAATGGCGAGCAGCACACGATTGATCAGACGGATTTGAAGGATGTTGATAATAAGGATTCTGTAACGAATTCCAGCAGCACTGTCACGATCACGACCAACACAGACTCGATCAGCACTTTCGAAGAAAGCAATGGTGATTTATGCGCCGCAAACGGTGTCGTTCCTCACGTGACACAATTGAAGAAGCAGAACTTAAAGCCGGACGATATTTTGAGCTTGTTGGTCGACAAGGAGATCCTCACGTCCGTCAAGGTGTGCTGCGACTGGCTGCGGAGTAATCCCGATATTATGAGAATATGCGCCAAGAGTTCGCGAACGTTGCTGAAGCGTATTACGATTCTATTGAATTTGATCGACATAGACGCGGAGGCATTCGTACGGAAAACCGGCGATTCCACGATCTTGTCGAGCGCCGAGAGGCTGAAGGAGTGCGTGAAAACAGTGCCTCTACCAGAGGACATTGACCTCAGGGGGCTGAATTTGCTGGAGGATGCTCACAAGTCTCTCGATTGGCACATACTGCACAAACACAAAATGAACAAATGGGAGGAGACGCTACTGAGAGTGTTGAAGCTGATCGAGTTCGGACATCATCTCAGTTCCGTCGAGAATTCCGGCGTGCGGTACGATCAGACTGAACAGTTGTTCCTGGTAACGAATTCGAGTCCGTCAAACGCTCCGAAGGCGACGGGTCTGGATGAGAAGAACTTTGGACCGGATCACTCGAAAAGAAAGCTTATGAGACACATGGGCAAACTGTGGTTGAAAGCTGAGGTTCGAGCTCTGGAGAATCAGTTATGTTGTCGCTTTATATCGCCGTACCTTGTACCTGATCATGAAGCTTTAGCCAAGCACATGCCGGCCCTTAAACGCTTAGTGTCCGCGAAGAAGTTTATAGTAGTGATTCCCGCGGTTGGTAAGTAAACTTGGCATTGGAAATATAAGATGGAAAAATTAAAATCATTTTAAATATTAAAAGAATTCTAATTTAAAAATGTGATGCAGAAAAATCTGAAATATTATATAACAAAATTTCTTCAGAAAGAATTTCTTATGTCTTCTTCGATTTATTCGTTTATTTGTTAATTTAAGTTTTTCATTATACAAATTTGTTGTGGAATTCTTATCTATCTATGACTCAAATTTGCTAGTATCTTGACATCATTACATACGTTTAATGTATTTATTGCATATTTATAGTTGTCTCTGCCTTGGATGAGGTGAAACGTGTAAGTGCGCAGGCGAGAGAAGCGACGCGATGGCTGGAATCACAATTTAGAGGCGGTTCAAGATTCTTACGGGCGCAGAGACCTAACGAACGTTTAGCGCTCCCGTTAATAAAAGGACCAAGACCCAAGGACAAGGAGGCGCGGTTGTTTTTTCAGATAATAGAGTGTTGTAATTTCCTTACCCAGCAAGCGAAGGTCGGTTTTACCGGTGATGGAGACGCACCAGTCGTGACGCTTTTAACTGGCAGCGATCCGAACGACAGGAAAGCTCTGACTTTTAGTCCCGATGGATTAGCGAAAAGTGCAGGTAGTTATTCTTTTCGTTCCTTTTGTTCTTTTTTTATCCTTGTGAAGTGTTAATTGATGTATAATACGTTAAATTAGTTATACAGATACATAAAAAGAAATTTTTATATAGCGTTTGACGGATTTCGTTAATTTTCTTTAATTATAATCATGTAATACAAAACTGTAATTTTGAATTTAAAAAAAAATGTGGATTTTACTTGTTTCAAATTTCTTTCGCAGGTGTTAATCTCGAGCATATAGAATCATTTCAAATGAAGTGGAAATCGTCTATTAAAAGCCACGGTTGAGCGGAACACATCATTTCTATGTGGTCATCTGCTGCTAATCTCATTGGGTGATGCCATTCATTGTTTTGGGTGTCGCGCATCCAGATTCTCAGCTCATCGGAGAACAAACATGGGAAGAGGGTTGGAAACCCGCGCATACGAAATGGAAAATGAACAGAGTTGTACTGCGATAAAAATCAGTGCCGATAAAATGTTCTTTTCCACTGCACGCAACGGAACTCTGAGTAATAGAACTATGTTTTTTTTCTCCTCTTTTTAACTATTCATATTGCCATTTATGTTTAAAAGAATTGTATTTTTAAGTAAATGTTTTTAAATAATTAGACCGGTGTGTTCTCACCAGCCCTATTATCCGGTATGGAGAGTCACGGCTGTTCACAGATACGTATTATCGTGCTGTTGAAGAACAGAAGGCGTAATATGAGCAAGCATTCTGCATTCAAATGCATCGAAAAAATGGAAAAAGGATAGAAAGAACTAAACTCTAAATAACGCTAATTATTCGAAATATGTTAATCTTGTAGATACGAAGAAAAATATTACGTACAATCTTACATAAGATCTATTAAGTTGTTGCTATCTGTAGCTACTTCCGCGTTCGGCGCGTTTTCACGGCTTGGTAAATTATCGGAGAAAACGAGAAAGCACATGGTGCGTCTGTGTGTTTGTGTGTTTGTGTGTGCAGAGGAAAGAGTTGATATACTATGTGTGTCTATTTATAATACGACTTAAAATAACGTTTCATATTACCGTGCTACCAAAACTGCAAGGTAAGCAAAAAATAGATAAACAAACGACGAGTATGTTTCGTATGCAGTATTTTCTAAAAACGAATCTCCAATTTTAGTAAACAAATCCATGATTGAAATATTGGATTCTTTAAAGAAATTTTTTTTTATACGATTCTCATATTTAAAAAAAAAAAGCCGAATTTTTTGACGAATTTAATGTTGTTCAAGACGTTTCGGAGCATCTTATATTGTACATATATTTAGCGTAGGTGTGCGTCACATGTCTGGTACGCATATCGCAACACGTCCGACGCGCGTGACGCGTATCATTCTGGCAGAATCGAGTGCGCATACGCGACAGTGCTTTTGCGTTTCAGTAGTGGCAGCGTGACATAACCTAGCGACTCTCGCGTTAGTCATCAATGGTGATCGGTTGCGTTTACGTGGTACTACAAGCGGACGATAAGTGCGCGAAATTAGTCTCGTACGCAAAACGCAGGTAGAATCTGCGATCTCCGGCGTGAGTCCACCGCGTGTTTATCGTAATGGCTAAGCGTGGTACGGCGAACATCGTGCATGTTTGTCATCGTCCGGCCGCACAGTTTCTCTAGTTCCGCGGGCCCAGAGTCGTGGGTGAAAAAAATCCAACGTAGTTGCTGCGTCGGGCGCACCGGACGTTCGGATTGCGAGCGCGAGCGAGGGAGTGTCGTTGCCGTCGGTGCCGTGGGTATCGTTGGAGTATATTTACCACGGTGCGCACTTCTCGGACGTGTGATCGAGCGTGAGAGGGGGGGGAGAGAGAGACAAGACCGACAGAGAGCGAGCGTGCAGAGGATCGCGCGAGCGTCGAAAGTAACGAGTCATCTACCGATTCAAGATGGCAGAAGGCCAGGAGGGTGGTCCGAAGAAGATCACCATCAACGTGAAAACGCCGAAGGAGAAGCAGAGCGTGGAGATCGAGGAAAATGCGACGATAAAGGAAGTAAGTGGTCACGATGACGACGAGCGTCATCTTTCCCGGCGCCGTTTGCGGCGTATCGCCGCCCTCTTGGCGCATCGCCAAGCATCAGCTGTCAAACGGATTGGGTTAGTTCGACATCTCTAATCTATGTTTGTTTTTGTTTTTTTCCTATTCCACGCGCCGGCAGTTTAAGGAGGCGGTTGCGAAGAAGTTCAATGCACAAGCCGATCAGTTGTGCTTGATTTTTGCCGGTAAGATCATGAAGGACCACGAGACGCTCAGTACACACAATATCAAGGACGGCCTGGCGGTGCACTTGGTGATCAAGGCACCGCGCGCTTCATCGACGCAGAATCAAGAATCTAACCAGACCACGACAAGACCACGGGGTATTTTAACAAATTTTCCTTAAATTTTATATATTGCACATTGTTGTAAAATTAAGCTATCATGAATTTTCTTTGAAGTTTCTTAGAGTTTTACACGTCTATTAAAAATTCTTCAAAAATACGTAACTATCCAATTTAAACTGATTAATATTATCTCAAAACGTTATTTAATTAATACATATATTATAATTATAAACCTTGGCTGAAAGGATTATTTTAGAATTTTTAATTATCTTTAACTTTTAAATTTATAAGAGTATATTTTTTACAATAATATTATGGATACTTATATTGATAAATCTTTATTAATTACAGCTGATATAAGCGCCAGTCCATTTGGTTTAGGCAGTTTAGGTGGACTGATGGGATTAGAATCCCTTGGCTTAGGCTCTGCCAATTTTATAGACTTGCAGCAACGCATGCAGCAGGAATTATTATCAAATCCAGAAGCGATGCGTCAAGTGCTGGACAATCCGCTGGTACAAAGTCTGATGAATAATCCAGAAAATATGCGCAATCTTGTCACCGCCAATCCCCAAATGCAAGAGCTGATGCAACGTAATCCAGAAATCAGTCATATGCTGAATAACCCTGAACTTTTACGGTAAATAATAATGTACTATTAGAATTACAATCGATTTAAAGATTTAATTTGAATACATTAGTTGAAGAGCTGAATCTATAACCTTGTTTTACGTTCTCGATTGTTCCCACATTGCATATATTATGATTGTAGAATTTTCTGTTTTGTAACAAAGGGATTTTGTATCAAAACATTTCCAATATGTTATCGAATAGGATTGATGTAATTTAAATTTAATTCTAGCACTACAGATTAAAAAAAATGTTTTTTATTCGTATTTGTAGATAAATTATTGATTTAATTGATTTTAACACTTTCTGAATAGATGTGTGATACTATGCAATATTGCGCAATGTTACTAGTGAAAACTAATTTTCAGGCAAACGATGGAGCTGGCGCGTAATCCATCGATGCTGCAGGAACTGATGCGTTCGCACGATCGTGCACTATCTAATTTAGAAAGCATACCTGGCGGCTACAGTGCCCTGCGTCGCATGTATCGCGACATTCAAGAACCGATGTTGGCAGCAGCGACGAACGAGCGTAATCCCTTTGCCGCTCTGGTGGAGAATAGTAATTCCTCCAATCAGGACTTGCAGAATCCGCAGCAGGGTCAGGAGAATCGGGATCCGCTGCCGAATCCGTGGGGTCAGGGCCAGAACGATAGCAACACGGGACAGCAGCAGGGTCAAGGTAGAGGTCTGCTGGATTCGCCAGGTATGCAGAGTCTCACGGCACAAATGATGGAAAATCCGCAGCTGATGCGAAACATGCTGAACGCCCCGTACACGAGATCCATGCTGGAGGCGATGGCGGCCGATCCATCTATGGCCAATCGTGTGATCGCCGCGAATCCATTTCTTCGTAGTAATCCGCAGATGCAGGAACAGATGCGTGCTATGATGCCTGCCTTTATACAGCAAATGCAGAATCCGCAGATACAGAGCGTCGTCACTAATCCGGACGCTCTGGCCGCCATCATGCAGATTCAGCAGGGTATGGAGCAACTGCGAACCGTCGCACCCGAACTCGTGGAAAAGTAAATTTCTACATTCTCATATCGCTAATTTCGTGGGTTGATATATTGTTAGTCCGTGATTAAAAGCACGTGGTGTATTTCAGCATGGGGCTTACAGTTCCACCCGCGCCCGCAACACCGAACACAGGCGGCACGAATCCCAGTGTACCGACTAGCCAACCATCGGACAGCAACCAGCAGGACGCGTTTTCTCAATTCATGGCACGTATGGTAAGTACTGTCGTTTAAATTATAATTTAATAGTATAATCGTCGAATATAATATTATTTGACATTTAATTTCTAGCTATATTTAATCCAATTTTTCTTTTTCCCGAAAATATAATTATTTTAGAATATTTTTCTTAAAACTACTCATTGAATTAATAAATCAAGATATTTCATAAAAATTTAGTTAATAAATTTAAAGTTATGGTAGCGTGTTATCCGATAATATAAAACCAATACAGTCTTGAGTAATGATAAAAGATAGTTTCTGTTATGCTGTATATAACTCACTTTCCTAAGTAATAAAAACGGCATAGTCTACATATCCGTTTAGTTATATAACCTTCAGGCTATATTATTTCTCACATAGTATCGCTTTCAAACATGTTTATGTATCAAATCATATTTTATTATACTAGGTTTCTGCAATGGCATTAAACCAAGGTGTAGAAATTGATGGCCAATCTGTACCTCCAGAAGAACGTTACAGAGCACAGCTAGAGCAACTTACGGCGATGGGTTTCCTTAATAGAGATGCTAATTTACAAGGTTAGTGTTAGCTGCACAGTATACTTTTTTTTTCTTTCCTATTTTACATATGTAAATGTTTCCAATCGCGATAACTGATACGATTAAAGTTCAGTTTATTAATCTAAATCATATAGAAATAAACGAGATTTTCAATCAGCTTAATAAAATGATTTAGTTTTTAAACACTGCCAAGCTTTTCACCAAATGTTTTACTCTATTTCTGGATTCTTCTTTTTAAATTTGGCAATCTGCCTTATTAACATTTTGCGTCGTGGAAAAAGTAAAACATCTGCGATCTATAGTTATCAGCAGAGTTGAAACAATGCTCTGATAAAAAATTCGAATATGTACTCAAATGTATGTTAAAAAAATTGTATATTAATTTAATATTAATATTATATTACAATCTGAATACAAAAGCTGAAATGTACACTCCAGTGTACATTGTATTAATTCAATATATATATAATACTAAAACCAATATAATGATGGCGGTGTGCTCATTTAAAATGTGAATATTTTGCATGAATATTTAAGCTTTTATTATTCATTTATCGTCTCGATTCGGCTTGATGTATAGTAATGTTAAAATGAGATTTTATATTTAATAACGAATATATATATATATATGTGTGTATTTTTTTTAATTTTCAGCGTTAATTGCCACATTCGGAGACATAAATGCCGCCGTTGAGAGACTACTCTCTAATGGACAAGTGTCTATGAGCTAACCACCAATCTGCAATACTGTTATTCCAATATTACCTTTAATTTTATCCTTATTTACCTCTCACACACGTGAGAGATATTTGAGGTAACTGGCTGTCGAAAATTGTAAACTTATATCCCCTCGTCCTTCCCCTTTTCCTATTTCCCTTATCTTGACGGAATACACGCTACTCACACGTTCAATTTGCTCTCGTTTTTCTTATTTGGATTCAGATTCGTCTGTGTTTTAGGCTATAGGTAGAGAAGCGACGGTATGATCATTACTACTCGTTTCACTCAATCAGTTGCTCACTTTTCCGTATCTCTGTTTTTGATTCTTCGTCTGTGTATTATCTTCGATGTGCTCTAAACTCTAAGTAGCTCCGTTGATGTCATTTTTCCATGTACATTTCTTTACGGAAGTGTCGAGCAGACTACGAGTAGATTATAATATGATCATATTCACAAGAGTTCATTCGCAACGTGTATCTTTATGACATTTCTTAGAAGCATGAACGGAACCTGCATGGAAAATATAGATTGCCGCTATTTAACGAACTCGCTTTCTCGGCTTTGTCGATCGATCGAGAGTATATTTGCAATACAGTCAATCGTCCTTTTGCTTTCGAATATATTGATATTTGTAGATCTCACTTAGGCGTAATCGCGTTCGGTTGTTGCCGCGCGCATTTCTTTATAAACAATATACGTTCTATGTTTCTCAATTATCACGTTATAAATTTCTAGATTTATATTACAAAACATAACTATTTTCATAGTTATGTCTTGATATATAATTAAGAAATCTACATAAAACTCAATTAATTTCAACATTCATATTTCATATTTATCCTTTTATTTGAAATAAAAAAGATAATATATCGACGTACTGACATTACTAATACTGAAGTGTTGTCCTTAGAGACTGCTTCGTCTTATAATACATTCTATGTAAGCTTTGTAGATATAAATTAAGTGAGTGGTTATGGTTTTCTTTAAATCTCATTTTTTCTTTGGTTGACTTAATTTTATTGTAGCATAAAAACTAATACAACTATTTTGATATCTTCTCCAATATTTTGATAGTTGTGTCTTAAAAGCTTTTTATGCTACAATAAAACTAGGCCAACAAGAGAACAAATACGAGATTTAGAAGAAACCTGCTTGTTGGCAGAAAGCTGAAACTAATATAAATAAACTATACTATATTATTAATAAAAAAAACCTAAGCTTCTTAAGCTCAGTATCTATAAAGCTGGAATCCATAAATATGGAAAATGTATTGCAGAACGAATTAAATCATAGTCTTTAAGTACAATTCTTCCGTCAGTACTTTAATATATTATTTAGATTTCAAATACAAGAGTAACTGTGAATGTGTAAATAAGCTGAAGATAAAAGTTTTGTGTAGATTTTTTAATTTTTTTCTGTATTATAAGTAAACAGGATATATGTATATGTAAAGAATGTGTGGCGTGATATTCGAGAAACATTCGATATATAAAATTGTTCACAGAAGAAGGCACAAGGCAAAGTTCTAATATGATCACGGTTACGTTTACGTGTGACCTCAAAGAAAAAAAAAAGAAAACACCTAATCGTCGGTTAGCTCTAAGATATAAGGATAAAACGATGTATGTTGTAAATTATCTTTATAGAAGGAAAACAGTTATAATTTTAATATTTTTGATTGATGTACGATTACGATAAATATCCGCAGTATGCGTATTATATTATCTTTTATGTGTATTCAGTATACTTCACTGAAGGAGACATTCTGCTGTAAAAGCGATTATATTACAAAATAAAGTTGGTTGATTGATATTCATTGACAAAATGCTATAAGCAACATCCCTGCAAAACATTGACAGTGTTTATAGAGAAGCTTGATTTTTCATAAATATTAATTTTATGCGTAATATCATGAGAGATTTGATTTTGTGTATGAATACTGATTTTAAATGAGATTTTATTTCACAAGTACGCTGTACAAATACTTTAAAATTTCGCGGGCAATTCACGCATGCGTACGAAAATATTTAATATGCGCTTGCGCGGAGAGATCACATGATTGGAGCAACGGTTAGCTCATACCAAACGAACCGGCTTAGTCTTTGCGCGGCCGTGCAGCGAGACACAGGATTTGAGACGGTTAGAAATTGTTCGCTATCGCGAACTAACGAGAACTAGTGTGTCGGTTGACGTTTCGCCGTGAGAAACCCATTGTTGTCGAGTCTATGCGTGTATGCGATCGGCGTATGCGGGTTGTTGGCGGTTAGTTGCTCAGTTCAGGTACTGCGCGCCGTGTGTACATGTGTTAGTGTGTGTGTGTGTGGGTTTGAAAATTTGAAAAGCGCGAGTGCGGCGGCGGCTAGTCGCACGGTGCAGGTGCTGCGGGAAAGAAAAGGAAAAGAGAAGCGTCACCGCTAATTCGGATAGTTTTCTTCCTCCGGCGAAGGCTTCACGTGACGGTGGGACGTGATTCTGCTGCCGCCGATCGTCATCATCGTCGGAAACACCGGCAGTACAGCCTAGCGGAATGTGGCACGAGGTGAGTTAGCTGCCCGCCCGGTTTCGCGTACCCGACCAGGGACGGACTCCGAGAGCCGGCCCTTTCGCTGCTTTTCCTTTTCCTTCTCACTATCTGCTTGCCCAAAGTCACTGTCTCTTTCTCGCGAGAACGCGCGTTTTCGATTTCTCACGCCGAATTGCCGCGCATAGACGCGTAGTTTCAAATGCGCGAAACTTTACTATCTTTCTCTCTCTCTAATAAGACTGCTTCTCTTTCTCTCTTTCTCGCTCACTCGATCTTTGCCTCGCAGCGAGTCTCGAGCACCTCTCCTTGCCGAACCGGTATAATTTCGATGGATTCATATTTCTATGCCATATAGATACGAAAATTAGACTTGCCCGTTTGAAGTTTATTACATCTTCTGCATTTATTAGGTAACATTGACGCTCATCTGCGCGACAGCAAGAGAAGGAGAGGTGTTAAAAATGTTCCGTTAGCGCGCGAATATGTGACAGCGTCTTTGCGTGTTACGCGCGCGCGTGTTTTAAACAGACAATTCCGGTTTTCGTGTCTATTGATTTTTATCAGAGACATTTTATTGACGAATTCATGCAAACAATACAGTGATATGGTGATTGCCATAGCATTCGCATTGAAATAACTTGTTCGATTCGAATGTTCACTTTATGAAAAATATTTTCAAATCCAAAATGGATTACTTTAAATTTTTCTAAATAAAGAAACTAGTTTTTGCAAAATATTAAAGATGATAATTACTTCACAATTATGATGAAAAATTTTATTAAGTTCTCGATTAATCGCAAGTTTTGTTTATTGAGAAATAGTATTTGTATTAAAAATTTAAAAAAACTAAAAAATCTGTTATATTTTGAATGTTGATTAATTATTATAAAATTTTATTTTATCCGAATATATACAAATAAAATTGCATTTTAGTGCAATTGTACTTTGCATTTATGATTGATGTCGTGTTTAAAACAATGGTCTTTAAACGATAAAAATTGTAGATGTTTCATTTCCAGAGAAAACCATTTTAATGCTCGAGAAAATCCGATTATCAGTATTTATCTTGCAATTTCGCTTGCAAATAGAATTTTAGCAACTTATTTTACAGCCACAGTAACTAAATAAAACGATGAAAAAACGATAGAATAAATTAAACTAAATTACACAGGCTCTATCCCGAAGTTATCATCACTTTGAATAATTATACGCATTATGGTTGGAACTAAAAAAGAAAAATGTCGACTCGAGATTTGATTGTAGTTAATCAAGTCTCTTTCATTCATGCTACAGCAAGAAGCTGCGATATTGCGATCTATGAACTTCCAGTTGACAAAGTCGCGAGATAGCACTCTTGGCTTTACAATTCACAATAAAAAGATGTACAAACAGGGTCACGAACAAGATTAGTCTGCGCTTTTACGTCATCGCCATAAGAGTCGTGTCGTTTTAACATCCATATCAAACATTGCTTGCGCGACCTATTTTTCGCAATCAAACACACACACACACACATGTGCTGTGCTGCCCTTCGCCGTTATAATCATCATTAGATAAGCGGAGACAAACAACTCGTTTGTATTCCAGAAAAAAAAGTCGTATTCTGAAAGCGTTATATTACGCGAGCGTAAGCGTGATCGTGAAATCGATTCAAGGCGCAAATAATTCTGTCCTACACGTGACATTCCGGGAATTCCTCGGCGAATTCTTCGTACATTTCGTTTCTACACCGAACGTGACCGGGAACGACGTTGTCAGTCGTGGATCGAGCCCTGATGACGAAGGTATAATGCGAAGGTTGCGTCGTGTCGGCGGAGGCACTCCTTAGTCCTGGCCCAAGGTCGCATTATTAAGAGAGGCCCAAAGCGCACCGACGGGTTTACGGTTACGGAGAACAGTCTGCTCTCGCGGTGAGAGCGGAATGTCACGATCGGGAAATTGTGAAAACCACATAAAGCGAATTACGTGCTCTGTACGCGTTCGGTTACTTTACCGTTTCGACTCGCCGACAATAGCGCGCGCTCATTTTAATCGCGATAACCGAACACAGTCGGATTCGCAGCAGGTGCATTGTGCCAGCAGCAGGAATGCGTTCCCGAAGAAATTTGAAGCTTCTTATTCTTCTTCTTCCTCCCCTTCTTCTTTCATATAAGTGCCTGCCTCTTTCGGAACATGGTATTTCTCTCTTTCTTTGGTGCATACTTTTTTTTTAATTGCTTCTTAATTTGTTAAAAATAGATTTTTTTCAATTTGTATACAAAGAAAAATATTTTCCTAAAATCAGAGTTTAAATATTAGAACAAGTTAGCATTGATTTGAATATTATGACAAATTTAAAAGAAACTTTATTACTACGCGAATAAAGTTTACTTGCAAAATATCTTATTTTGAAGACGGTTCGTTCTTTGCAATAATTAATCAAAATAAAGCTCGAATGATGAAATAAATCTAAAGCAAAAGAGCAGATGGGTTACCGCAAAATGCTAGTTATAACTGTATTAAGAAATATTTACAAACGTTTCGAATCAGTTATAAAATCGAGTCTTCAGTGTAGCTACAAAATCAAAATAAATTGAAGTATGCGCGATATCTTTATATCGATTTATTTCGATTTCGTAGATACAGTGAAGGTAATCTTAGAACGACTGAAACATTTGTTAATATTTCTAGATAAAGTTATAACTAACATAGATATCTCGCGTTGGCTCGATAGCTTACTTGCTTTTCCGTTTTGGATTTATTTAATCAAAGATAATATCTTGAAATTTATATCTTTCTGACTTTATAATAACACTTGGACGGGAAATTAAGCTTCTCGCGTGCATCGCGACGATTCTTCATAAGCGTGTGTGTTGTAACACGATATTTTATCTTAAGCTGTCAGTCACATCGCGACGGCATCCTGCGAGGAGACACTCGTGTCCTGCTCTATCGCGATCCGATTTGCGGGCACTCGGCTTTTTTTTAAGCTCGGAAATCTGAGACGCGCGCGTTTCGGCTTTAATACTCGCTCTCTTCCCGTCTCTCCTCCTCCTTTCTGCGGTACATCACACCCTCGAGATTCACCCCGCAAAGTGGCAGCGTGTGGCATCGTATTCATGCGTTGACCGCAACGACTCGTTCCGTCATCTCTTTCTTGACTGGCGGTACATCGCGGCGATAATTCTATCTTCTCGTGTAAATCACGTATTAACACACTTTGCAAGCAGGATCGCGTGCACACGTGAAAGGAGCGGGAATCGCGTGTAATGCCGACAATTACAATCCAGCGGTTTGCGCGAGGTCTAAAGGAGTCTTTGTGAGGAGTGTGACTGAAAATAAAAAACGCGCGTACGGATAAATGTGGATTTCCGATTACAAAGCAAACATAGAATGTGCGATACAACTTGTGTACAAATAAATTTACGAATAAAATTAATTAACACTGGAAATCGGTACGAGATAAAAATGTACGATGAATAAACGTAATTTTTTAATTACGATTTACTTTGTATCTCATCTACGTTCGTTTATTGGCGTAAACTACGTGTTTTTCGCTTCTTTTTTTTTTTCACGATACCCGCAGGGATATTTGCTCGCCGTAGCGCGCTTTAAACGCTGGCGCGAGGCCAAATTGCGCGGGCGGCTTTAAGCCGCACCGTGGAATTATCCTCTCGGCGTGTGCGGTCGCACGGTATGTCGTTTTGCAATTTTCTCTCCTTTCCCACAATTCTTCTTCCCGTTCTCTTTTACCTTTGCCCTGGTCCTGGCCGGCGCTCTCCTCCTCGCTGTACTTTCTCGTCTCTCGCAGCGACCGCGTTGTTCGAGAACGGATCCGCGGCCTTCTCTACAAGCTGGAGATAGAAGCCGAGTTTATCAATGTCGCTTCGTGTGTATTTGGCTAAGAATATAGTTAACTGATCTGTCTATTATCCTAATTATTAATAGATTGTAATTATGTTTAGAGAAAAAAAACAAAAAATAATTACATTGAGATAAAAGTTAAAACTTGACGATAAGATTATCATTAAAATTTCGTAAGATATTTAATTTTCTACGATTTTAGCTTAATATTTTCATGTATGAAACAAAAAGAAATATCTTTCTTTCTTATTTTTTGCACCAAAGTTTGCGAAATGTCCTTCATTCTCGATTTTATCAAGAATTTTTTTTTCAGAGCCTCGACATTTTCGTTGAAAAATTATCGATTTCATCTTAATCAAGGAATCATTATAGTGATTAATGATAGTCCCAAATGCGCTTATGCAATATTCATTAATCTTCTCAGATCGGTCGGATAACCAACAATGTAGATGTAGCAGCGTTTTTCGTATGTATATGCGTAGAAAATATTAATCCCTCCAAAAAAAAAGAATAGCTGAAGCAGTGCCCACCGGTTTCTCGTTACAATGTTAGCTACCTTGTGCGCTCAAATTCCTCAGCGATTTCTGTCCCGTTTTGAGAAATCATCCGCGATCCGCCGCATAGTCTATCGATTTCTGTGCCCTGACCGCCTGTTCACCTGTTTTCTCGAGAGCAGGTAGCAACGGACCCGGGCTTTTGCTCTCTGTTGTGCGAGATTCCGCGAAGCGGCGGTGGCGGATAGAGCAAAACCATCGGGCACCGGCGTAGAGGAAGAGAAAAAACAAGAGAAAAAAAGAGTAAAAACGAGAGAAGGCCCGAGGGGATCTCGTCATCGCGAAGTGACTCTCCGTAAATGATTGAGCGCGCCCGTCGAGCGTCTCTCGTGTGCCATAAAGCAAGCGAGAGCGATCGCGCAGCCATCATCGCAGAGAAAGAGATAGGAAGAGAGGAAGAGAGAGAAAGAGAGCCGAGAAAGATAGAGAGAAGCCGGATAGTAGACAGGTAAGACAGAGAAAGTCAAGCCGGGGCAGAGAGACGGCGCGATATCGGGGTGGCGGGGGAGCAGGGAACCGATTCGGGCCCTAGCTGCGTCCATTCAGCAGGCACCTGCCACGTTAAATTCGGTGGGCCCGGGTCGGACGGGCCGCGCGCGCGCGCGCGCGTGTGTGTGT